CAGACATAGAGACAGAAAGCAAGAAATCACCCCCCAGGGGGGATGGTCACACCACAATCCCCTCTCCTCCATTCTCCTCTTGGGATCTTGGGCACGCACGCACACGCGCCCGGCGTGAGTTTTAAGCCACTGGGTCCAGGACGCGAACTGCGGTCGACTACGTGGGAGTCCAGCGACATAGCCATTACGCTAACTGCTGGTTCCCCTTCCCTTTAGGTTTTAAGTCCTTCGGGTTGGCTGATTCTGTTTTTTCCTGGCAGACATATCCAGACACTGGCACTTACTTGCCAGGGGCTGCACGAGCAACCCAGTCCCAAGGGCAGGTCAGGATCTGAGGGCCTTAGGTTCACAGAAGCAGCTTGCGCCAAAGTACTCTGTCCCAGAAAGACTGCTGCTCTCACCCAAGGAGCTGAAACATGGAGTCCCCCAAATGCCAGGGAGGATACTCGTTTTCTCTTCCTTAGAAGCACAGGATAAAGCCAACCACAAAGTCCTTTTGAGGCTGGAGAAGGAGGCACTTCAACCCAGCTCAGCCTGTTCTAAGGAAGCCAAATGGTCTCCAGCAGCTTTCCCAAAACTGATTTTGCATCTTTCTGCTGCAGCAGTGAATAGGAAAATTTCAGTCAGACAGGAAAACTTTAGAGAGTTACGCCCAAATGGTGAGGAAGAACTTCTTTTTTTCATTTCATTCTTCTTTTTTATTTTTTTTAATGAGGAAGAGTTTCTTTCATCCTTCTTCTTCTTCTTCTTCTTCTTCTTCTTCTTCTTCTTCTTCTTCTTCTTCTTCTTCTTCTTCTTCTTCTTCTTCTTCTTCTTCTTCTTCTTCTTCTTCTTCTTCTTCTTCTTCTTCTTCTTCTTCTTCTTCTTCTTCTTCTTCTTCTTCTTCTTCTTCTTCTTCTTCTTCTTCTTCTTCTTCTTCTTTTATGAAAGAATCTTTTAGCCTTTATTTCCTGGAGCATATGCACTCTGAGGTTCCTGCTTCAGGACAGCCCTCTGAGCCCACTGATCACCTGCACGTGTGCTGCATGTGGCCGGGACACCATGTACTCTGGTTTGCAGCTCCTGTGGTCAATAAACTCAGACCTAGCTACAACAGAGCTGCTTTTCAGTCTTGCTTTCTGAAAATCTCCGTTTTGGATGACCAGAGGCTGGTTGGGAGGGCCAAGTGCCTAAAATGCAGGAAGCAGAGGTCTGACAGTAGTTTTCTGTGTGGCTTTTAGCGAAGCTTTTAGAGATTCTGGTTTTTCTCACCTGAAAAACTGCCTTGATATGAGAATCAGGCAAAGCTAAACAAACATACACACAACAGACCTTTACAAGTCTGTGATCACAAAGCTGAATTGACTCACTATTAACTTTTATATTAGACATAAAAACGACACTGTATATTTACGAGAAAAACCTGTCATCAGAATAGCCATGATAAAATTATATCACTAGTTTTTTTTTTAAATATGCATCAGTCCAAAAGTCTGAACTTTATATTGGATTAAGAGGAATTTAGAAAGAGTCATATAAAGAATTTTTAGAATCTTTTAAGTTGGGCTTTTAAAAAGACATATAAAGCTCAAACTTGCCATGCTAGTGGAAACACCACCAAGTTGGGAAGTTAATTATTAGAAATCAGAGAGGTGGCCTACAGAAAGCCCTTCCCTACTTCCTTTATATCCAGAACTTACTTGTAACTTTTTAAATGCCCAGAGCATTTCTGTGAACTTATTTATTATGCCAGAAGATGCATGTGCTCACCTGAGAGAAAAAGAGAAAGCAGTACCCCTCCTCCCCAATTGAGCATGGTCATGCCACAATCCTCTTTTCTCCATTTCCTCATCCTATCAGGATTTTGGGCACACATGCACACATGCCAGGTATGTTTATCAGGCTACCAGGGCCAGGATTCAAACTACAGCTGACCATGCAGGATCCAGCTCCTTATGCACAGAGCTTAACCTCTGCGCTACAGGAATGGCCCCAGAATACTGCACATTTATGCGAGCTATGTTTGTAGAGACTGAACTCGACCTAATGTATGCCCTACAGGTAGCCTTACATGAAATACATGAAATTACATAAAATAAATGCAATCTTTCTCTGGAAGCCTTAATATACATACTCTCGTCTTCACCCCAAAAGGAGCCATGGATAGGGCTAATACTTATGTAATGTTCATTATTTGATTATGTAATTCACTCTTCTTCACACCCCTCCACCCAGCTAGTTTTTCTCCTTATTTGGACAGCACAGCATACTCAAGCCATTCCTCATAGAAGCTAAAAGCTAAAGAAAAATCAAGGATCGCTCATGCAAAATAATTTTAAAGAATATCAACTTTCTTAAGACATAATTCTCCTGCATCGTGTGGCAGAGTTCAGATCACTGGTTGCATGTGGATATTAGTAAAATGCAAACATCGGTCTGGACGAAATAATTTTCCTTTTGGCCAAAAACCACCTGTTCAGAAGCAACATCATCTTCAGATTAAATGAAAAATCAAAACAGAAAAAAGAAAGGACTATGGAATGTAGATTTGAGGCTGCTAGTGGTTTTTGGAGAGTTAAAATTAGGTAACATTTTAGACTTCACTGCAGGAAAGGAACCACCTCACCAACACATCAGTGTAGCTTTTTTTTTTTTTTTTTTTTTGAGAGATTTTCGCTATAGGGTGCGTGCGCTCGCCAGACAGACAGAGACAGACATAGAGACAGAAAGCGAGAAATCACCCCCCAGGGGGGATGGTCATGCCGCAATCCCTTCTCCTACATTCTCCTCTCGGGATCTTGGGCACGCACGCACACGCACCCAGCGTGAGTTTTAAGCCACCGAGTCCGGAACGCGAACCGCGGTCGACTACGTGGGAGTCCAGCGACATAGCCATTACGCTAACTGCTGGTTCCCACATCAGTGTAGTTTTCACTGTAGTTCTTAAAGATGCTTTGGCTCCATAAGGCAAGGAGCACAATGACAAAGGGTAATTCTAATCTTTACAGATGTGTCTGCACCAGTCAATCACTAATTGTCGGCAAGCACTAAGAGTGAGTGCCAGGGAGAATTATCCCCAGGGAACTTCTGGCATTTCCTGGTATTCGGGAAATAAAAGAAATATTCAAGAGCTCCACAGACCCAGGGTAGCCAGACCAGGCAGGGCTTAGGTACATTTGCCTTCATTTACTTGTCTGCACTTCAGGAAGGGAAGAGTCAGCAGACAGTGATTTGCTGCCACCATTTTTAATTATTCTCTACCATCTGGAATGTTTCCCACTCAGACATCACCATGCCAGCCCAGAGTTCTGACTGAAGAGCCAGGCATGAGGATAAGCGCTTGCAAGAAAATGAACCTCCAGTTCATGGGGATGGAGCAATGTGAAGTTGTCTCTAGGGGCCATAAAGCAGGACTGTCAGCAGGGCTGACACTGATTCTCACAGGAAGTTTTTGGATGCCTTTAGGTATTTGTGGAAAGGCATACAAAGTGAGGCCCTTCCCCAGGGTATGCACTGCCACCCATGTTTAAATGAAAAGAACTGAGAGCAGAAGAAAAGTATTTGAGCTCTGCTCACCCCAACTCTACTGAGGGGTGTGCTGGTGACAGAGATTAAGTGGTGGGTTCCATCAGTACCATTCTAGGAGCTTCAGAAGAAGTGGAGGTCAAACTGGGAGCTCTGCTGTGTCCATCTTGGTCCTGAATCATCTTTATTCTCTTCGAGTCTCTGTGTTAACAACAGCACATCCCACTCCCCTGGGAAATACATGACAGCATGCTCGGGGCTGACGTGAGTCCAGGGATATGAGTCTCCAAAGACCTGCCAAGGATCCCCTGCACAAGGGCACCTGAACATAGAACTTAATGAAGATGACGGGTTTAGGGTTGACCTAAACCGAGGTCAAGAGGGCTCATGACAACTACCCAGTCTTCACACATCCCTGTTCATCAGCAAATAACACTCACCAGGGGATATTCAGAATTCTCTTCAAAGTAAAGAGGGGAAAGAAAAAAAAAAAGAAAAAATTTAAAAGGCCAGAGTTCCCAGAAAAATGTGCTACAGAGGAGTACAAAATACAAACCTAACACCAAATGCATGGCCTCAAGCAAACACTACCCACAGCATGCCATAAAGCAGTTCCCTCATATCAAATAAACAAAGTCTAGGCAAAGGTCAATATTTAGATTAAATGCCATATTCCAAGATTTCACGTTCTCTCTCTTTTGGTCACACACGCACAGAGCTATATACATAACTATGAAAATCTCCCTATACTAACTTGAAAGTAGTATTTTAAATAATTTATCTAAAAAAAAATTTTTTTTTTCTCAGCCCATCACAGTCCCTTGGCACCCTACAAGTCTGGTCATGGCCTCCCACACAGTGAGGGCAGCTCAGGAAGAAAACCAAATATCAGACAGTGATGGTGGATTCCAATCCAAACTTATAGTCGGTCCCTGGAAGTTGATGGAAGGCATCAGGCATCCTAACTGAAGCTCAAGGTGCCGGACCTCCCTTACTGATGAATCTGGGCCTTGGAGCAAGGTATGGGAGGGGGTCCTCTGCCCAGTTCATTCAGCAACTCTGTATTAGGGAGATTCTTAAAGGGATAAGAACTGCTAGGGACACCAATGACTTTAAGCTTTCACCAAAAAGAACAATCTCTCTGCAAGATAATCACACAGTGAGGGGTGGGGGGAAGGGCAATGACACACAAAAGGGGAGGGAAAGAATCTCCCTGCCCAAAGGTAGGGATGGGAGGTATAGTTCTCTTCCTTTTGCTCTTCCAGCCATTGCTATGGTCCCCATTGGATACACCACTCTGAGGCAGGAACTAAGGCAATGGTCATGCAGAGGGCAGGTTAAAGAACTACCGGAATTTGGAGCCCAGTCAGACAAGTCAGTAGGCAAAAGATCTTTTACAACACAGTAAAATCTTCATTAGCAGAGGGAGCATACGGGTGGTTCAGGAAACCAGAGAGGCCCTTGACAGAGAGCAGGACTGGGACTGCCCAACTTACCCCAAAGAAAACTTGACCGTGAAGGGATGAACAGCCTAAAATGAGACAAGAAGGGCACTGTGGGTAGAGTGAACCACATGACATAAATTGAAAAATAGGAGGGAAACGTAATGGTTTGTGTGTGGCCGTGGATGAGGCTAGAAGGCTGGCCAGAAGCAGGTCTAATGAAGGGTCCTTTATGGCAACTACAAAAGGTGAACTTTATCCTAAATGTGAGAGGTAGCTACTTGATATATATATATATATATATTTTTTTTTTTTTTTGGAGAGGTTTTTTTTTGCGTGCGCTTGCCAGACAGACAGAGACATAGAGACAGAAAGCGAGAAATCACCCCCTGGGGGGATGGTCACGCCGCAATCCCTTCTCCTCCATTCTCCTCTTGGGATCTTGGGCACGCACACACACGCGCCCAGCATGAATTTTAAGCCACGGGGTCTGGGACATGAACCGTGGTTGACTACGTGGGAGTCCAGCGACATAGCCATTACGCTAACTGCTGGTTCCTGCTACTCGACATTTTTAAAGAGTGGCTAACAAGGTGATTTCCACTGCACAGAGCTAGTTCTGCTCAGGATGTAGAGAATGGGCTAGAGAAGGGGAGGTAAGCCAGACAACACGGAGACCACCTAGGGGATTACTACAAGAAGGAATAACACAGGCCTGGTACTTTTGGCCGGAACTGCCATCTTCCA